TTCGAAATGTGGTGTTGGAGAAGGATGGAGAAGATCAGTTGGACCGATTATGTGAGAAATGAAGAAGTGTTAATTAGAGTCAGTGAGCAGAGGAATATCCTACACGAAATAAGAAAACGGAAGGCTAATTGGATTGGTCATGTTTTACGCAGAAACTGCCTTCTAAAAGAAGTTATTGAAGGAAAGATAGAGGGGCGGATAGAAGTGACAAGAAGACGAGGAAGAAGACGTAAGGAGATGCTGGATGACCTTGGGGACAGAAGAGGATACTGTCATTTGAAGGAGAAAGCTCTAGATCGCATTAAGTGGAGAAATTGTTTTGGAAGATAATGTAGACCTGTCGTCTGACAGATTACTGATGATGATGACAACAGTTTACGCCATTAATTTCGACTTAGGCTAGAGTTTGTAATCTTCCCTTGTATTAATATGTAGCCACACGTTTTATGAATGATCTCATATGCTGTAAATTGGTGGAAATTCCGAAAGAAACAGTTCCCATATCTAGCTGCATTTAGCGTGGATGCTGGCTCTACTGATCTGGTTTTATAATATATTTTAAACTAAGATTTCACAGAATGTTCACGTTATCAAAAATTCAATATTTTGTTGGGAACAATTAAGACTTCAATGCCGACCGGACCACGTCATATTGCCGAGTGACAGTCCTATCCATAACTACTAACAAAAATTACTTCGAAACAGGGACAGAACGAGGACAGAGTGGGAATTGATTTATGTATATTAGAAAGCTCACTGTTGAGGCGTGTAAGAAGAAACACGTTAATTTATTTGAGAATATAGTAAATTCATTATAGCAATTGCTGGAATTACTTGTCTGTTAATTTCATTTCTTCAGCCTCGCTTTCGCTTAGCTCTTGTTTATGTTAGTGGCAATAAACACCAGCTGCCTCACGAAGTTCTTGTGTCTTCAAAGTTATTGTGCTGTTTGCTTACGGTAGCGGTCACAGGAAGCAGCCAGCCACGCCGTAACGGAACACGTAGCTGCTCTTACACATTGTGATCTTCATCAAGTGCTGAGAAGCATGACATCAGCCATAAAAGGAGCAATTAACTGAACAGCGCTAGAGTATAAGTAAACGGACACTTTCGTCTTTTCGATATTTGTGACACTTTTTAACTCCCGCAGATGTTATATCTTTTGTGGTGTTTCGCTTATATACCCTGCCTTGTGTTGGATAGTGACTAGTTCAGTCAATTGGGCTTAACAGAGTAGGCTTTTTACTTGAGGGTGGAGGCAGAGTATAATCTCCGAAACGTTGTTTTAAATAAAAAACAGGACGATTGATATGTCCAGAAGTCAATAATTTTAACGTGAGTAGTGTTTCTTTACCGAACCTGATATACTCTATGAATATTAGCTGTGATAACACTGAAGTAATGTAGCGGGCTGGTCTGGTCAAGTGGGGTTTGTGGTGGACAAAGTGGCGCTGGGGCAGCTTTTCTCCGAGTATTTCGGTTTCCCCTGCCAATCTTCATTCCACCAAATTCTCCATCATCATAATCACCCGGGGCAGGCTACAATAGGCCAATCAGTGACCGCCGTGCCGAGTGGACCCAGTTGGACTCCACCCCCCACTAAGCGAATTAAAAAAATGTAGCGGGCTACGGACTAGACGTTCGAGTTTAGATACCTGGTAGGGGCATTGTGTGTGTGTGTGTGTGTGTGTGTGTGTGTATATGACCGCCTCTGTGGTCTAGTGGTCAGAGTTCCTGCCTACAGATCCAGAGGTCCCGGATTCGATTCCCGGAGCTACTAGTTTCTCTGAGAAGTAGTGGGTCTGGAACGGGGTCCGCTTAGCCTCGTGATGATAATTGAGGAGCTATTTCAAGGAAATAGCGGCTCCCGTCTAGAAAACCGAGATTAACGGCCGAGGGGATCCGTTGCGCTGACTAAGCGACGCCCTCTTTCCAATAAAGTTGGCACTAAACTTCGCTGACAAGCGGAGGTCGCTCGGTCGGTATAGTTCGCTCGCGAACTACAGGCCACAGAGTATATGCGTATGTTAGTAAGCGCAGTGCATTGCTGAAATGATAAGAATGAGGCGTTCCATTAAAATTTTTGTTCGTTATGTCTCCATGAAGCGTGAAGCAGCTTAGTCAGTGCCATTACTATGCCATGGGTTAGCAGACCGGTGTTCGGTTTCTTGCAGGACATGAACCCTTTCTCCGTATTGCGTCTAGAGAGTTTCGGAGACTACGAAGTCTCCTACCTAATGAGTACTTGAGTGGTCTTTCTCCGGTGGTAAGTATGCCGGGACTTGAAGCTGACCATCCACTTCCATATTGTACGGAGGTTAAGAATCCGTAGAATATTACCTCCACTCCCCATACGTCATCATAGAACACTGCTTAATTATACACAGGGTTAACTTTTCCGTTTACTTTTGAACATCGTGCTGAAACGATTTTGTTACTTTTATCTGACCTCATGAAAATTAAGCACGATGTTTTAGTGCACCGAATTGTGGGAAGAATTTGTTACGCATAGTTTATTCATAAGTATAGAGCCTTGCGCTCTTGCCCTAATAACTCATGATGTTATTTGTCTAAAATATCTTTGAGGGTTCGTCATACATTGAGGTTGAAACCTTGAGGAAGAGAAGTTGTGTACAACGAGATTCACAGTATGGCAGTTTCTCTTCCTATCTTATGTTCAAAATAGAATCTAACGACCTTAAAATGATGACGCAAAGATTTACGCCACTATCTGATAATGACGCATCTTAAGTTATTTTAGTTAGAAATCAGAGAGAGCTGTGATAGGGTACGTTCTCCTAATGTTATCTTAAGGAAGAATGGCTAGAGTGATTCGAAAACAGCAAAGGACCACAAAAAGGGAAAGGAGGAAACGTATGTTGCCCATTTTATGTCTTGTTTTGGTAGCAGCAGTCAATGTGACATTTTATTGTAGAAAAATCCAAAAGACAAAAAGAATTTTAAAAGAAGAATGAAGACCTCCACGAACCTACTGCATCATCATCATCATCATCATCATCATCATCATCATCATCACCGTTGTCAACGTCGTTGTCAGCAAAACAGCCTTTTTAAGCCATACCCTTCCTTAGAAGATTCTGCTAGACTTGTCTATTCCGTTGTGAATTAGCCCATCCGGTTTTCACTTCTTTGGATTTCATAACAGTAATTTTTATAGAGCAAGGTCGTCTGCCTTGTGTCCAACCCCCAACCTGGAAGAACAGGTCGCCCAGTGACAAGTGGCCAAACACACCCCCAGGCACCGGATTCTCTTTTTATCGTCTTGTACGACTAAAAGGGGTTCGGTGAAAGTGCTCTAACCCGCCTGTAACGGAAGTTTATTTAGACTATTCAATTTTGCCATACCAGTGACATTGTTCTTTAATCAAAATACACATCTTGCTCCTAATATTCTTTCTTATTAATAAATTTTCCTCTTTTTCTCAATTTAGTTAGTTTGTAGAAGTATCTTAAACAACTTGCAGGTTATGTAATTTGTCATATTTCATCACAATAAATAGTACGACATAATTGCCACGTACTTAGAGTTAAACACTGACTTTATTGTGCGTTTAGTTTGTATATATTTATATCTTTTGAAAAGAGGCAACCGATGGGAAGTACTGATACTTGTTTACTTTCTAAATCAGCAATTTATGTTAAGAGGATATGATGTACAGTTATATCGTGTAGCACAGTGATGTTGTAGTGAACTCGGAAACAGCTGGCGTTCTCTTGTTCTTGCCTCAGCCTCTAATATAAATGAGTACCAGAATCTTCCTGGGAGTAAAGGGCGACCGACACGTAAGTCTGACAAACTCACCGTCATCTGTGAGCCGCTTGTCTAGAGAAAATGTGGGAGCCTCGATGTCTCACAACCGTATTGGGCTCTGTGGTCTGTTATAGGGATAGTTTTACCTTTATTTTTTAGTTTGTTAGGATGCAAGCTTCAGGGATTTTTCTTAAAAAATTCAATATTTATTCATTGGACCGAGAGCTTAGCCGCCTGTGGAGTGTGACTGCCTGCATCGGAGCCTGTCTTTAGGAGTTAACAACAAAATTCACATTTTCACAACTCAGGACCCTCATATTCAATTTAATATCATTGTGTAATATCACTGTCTGTATCTTCAGTTGGTTTTACCCCTGGTGTTATCCAGCCAAATTTCGTGCACATGTCCTCTTTCCTCAAGAGTGCTACTTGCTTTATTCCATCACAAACTCACGTAAAAGTACACTTGGTGAAGTTCCTCAGTATATTATTCTTTTAATTCCATTACAACTTAGTAAACGTGAGGTTCAGGTATTCTCATCAGCACTTTGTTTACAAATCACTCAATTTAAATTATTTCTTCTATACATAGAGATCAAATTTCGCCAATATTCATTGCTAAAAATTAAGCTGCTGTATTTCGGTGCTGAAGTACGGCACGTTAAGCAGTGTGAAGCCCTTTTCACATCACACCTGATAGGTCTCTTATAGCAGATCATTACAGCAGTAGATATATTATTATCGCCTTTCAAAGAAGAAGGATGTAAACTATTGGCAGTTGCTTGTTTCTATCGCCATCATTGGTTGTACATATGCGAATGCTTCCTCTCATAACACACTTCCTATAATACCATATTAATCATATCTTACTGAACTATGCTACTCTCTAAGACATCATTATTCTTTTGTCTTTAACGAGGAATTACCTTAGTTTTTCTCTTTGTTATCCAACAAAACTTTATGTCCACAGGTGCGGCTATGGCAGTGCTGGCTTCACTCCTCCTCCTACACGGTTGCTGGGAAGTAGGGGCAGAGATAGGAGGGCGTCACATCCGACGCATCACTGCAGCTGATCTGCCCTCAACGAACAGCACCGAAGCTACAAAAGTCAGGCTGAAGAAAACACAGGTCAAAGGAGGAGAAAACTGCACAAAAGAAGGATCGTGCATGAACGCCATGACAGCAGCACCTCACAGTAATCCTAAAGGCAAAACAACCTCTTCATTCCTAGCAGACGATGTTCTTCAAGGACGCCTCCACGCAGACGTACTGAGCTTCTTAACCACAACAGGATCGCCCTATGGTAGAGGATACGATTCATACTTCGACGGCGATATTTTTGGTGAGAGAACAGTCAGTATACCAAAGAAATTGTCTTTTAGTGATGTGTACCGCTCAGCAACAGAACGAATGAATTACGATATGCCCCTAACGACCCCAAGAATAAGTTTGTTTGATGATTTTTATGCTAAAGTGACAGAAGGCATTCGGCAGAACCTTGAAGAAATGGACGAGTATAGGTTTCGAGATGTCTCACGGTTCTATGATGATAATGTGCAAGAGGGACATCGAACAGCGGCGGTCACCGTGCTGCCACCTTCAACAGCAGATCCAGCAGACAAAGCAGACGAAAAAGTTGCACTGGAATATTTAAGTAAATTATCAGTCGTGTACAATGATTCAAAAATGTCTAATTCTGTGAGAAGAGACATTGTGGTCGAGAATGGAACTCACGTTGATTTTGAGAGATCTCGTATTCACACAGAATTACAACCTGAAATAAATCGGACGACATTCTACATCTCAAATGACACGCACTCAACCATAATTCCAGCCCCTACCTCAGTTTCAATGACAGATTCGAGAAATGGGTCACAAACTTTCCACAATAATGCGGTTGTCAATCATTCTAGGGCGGATGAATTATTTTTAGAATCCTTGGGCCACTCTGAGCATTCGCCTCATCCGAATATCAACATCAGTATGAATGTTATACAGAATAATAATACAGGGACACCTGGTAACAAAGATAGTACAACTTCGGAATCCAAAAGGGACCGATCATTCTCCAGATCCAATGGAGTAAGAAACAATTCAAGTAGAGAAAATGTTACAGTAATCAGCAATAAGCCCATGACGCTTCAGATATCGAATGGAACGAAATCAGAACTAATCGATACCGAAAGGAAGAATACCACCAAGACTTCGAGGAGCGGTGCTGTTGTAAAAACAGATTCTAAATCGAAAGCAGCTGGTCCAGTTTCTGCAGAAAGGGACACCAACAGAGGTAGCAGGATGTTGGTATCCAGTCGCAGTAATTACAACTCCACTAATGGTCTGGAACATTCGTCTCAAACTCCCCTCTCTGGATCGTCTCAAAATAACTTCAGCAGTGACAATGCGACAAGAAAACCGCGAACGAAATATACCTTGAGGCGAAATGGAACAAATTCAAGCGAGGAACAGGTAGAGTCCAGTACAGTAATTGCAGGCATGGCGACGAGGAAGGCAGTTCCTTCTGTTCGGGCAAGAGCAGACGAGAAAGTGCCGTCTCAAACCAAAGAGAGTGTCAGGAGCAGGAAGAATGGCACTAATCCGATATCTGGGTATGGATTTACTGAGGTGCCAATTGATCGTTCTACAACTGGTAGTTCCAGAGGTCGAGCCTTTACTTACCAACGTCCTCACACAACGGCTAGCAATACAAGCAGCGACAGTGAAGCACAAGGTGGCAAAAGTGACTATTCAACGGTCAGACCATCAACCACCAGCTCTTCTATCAACGCAGAGATGGTTCGGCGTCGACTCACTACCTTAAATCGACGCCTGCAGAGCAGCACTACATCGCCAGTTGCTTTTTATCCAACAAACAATTCCACAACAGAAAGTAATGCTATTGTAAGAGGGTTACCGGTAACAGTAGGAAGACCACCGACGATTAAAAATACATCATCAAATAAAACAGAAAATAATGAAGGGAATGATATAGTGTCCTTTAAGAATGATGCATACAAGCCTGTCACCAGAAGCCGTGGATCAGTTCGCTACGGAAACCAGAAGAATTATACATCTGAAGATATAGGGAATTCATCGTCCGTGTTCTCAACCCCACCGACTACGGCAGCTTGGACTTTAGTATCCCTTAGTAGAACTAGCACTGAGACGCAAAATTTGCGGCAGGATAACTCCACGTTGGATGTACACAAGAGACGGTGGCCTCCAACAAGAGGCAGAAGACCTTGGAGCTCCGAGGAACAAGGTAAATATTTATGTCTGAAGAACGAATGGCTTAAATCATTTGAATGACCTTGTAGGAATCTGGAATGTTGTGAAAGTTGGGAAAATTTCATTATGTGTCACTACACCAACTTGCAGTTCGAGTATCCAAATGCATACTAAAGCTTTGAAGCATCAGTTATATCCGAATATTATACAGAATAACGGTTTCTACTTCGCAGGAAACACACTATAGATTCATTAAGCAGTTAGGTCTATAGTCTATTCGCGGAGACGAGACAGTCAGCGTAAACATAGCAAGCCCCGAGTCGCCACAGCTGACAGCAAGGAGTGGACAAAGCGCGCAGTTACTCAGTGTACTCACTGCATTCGGACGCACGTTAACCTGCATTCAGACTGAAGAGTGAACTTTGGACGCCCCTGCAACGAAACACGCATCACGTGATCGCTGCATGATTTCATTCATAGAGCGAAGGAGACACCGCGTGCATTTGTTTACGAGGACTCTCTCGTCTCCGCAAATGGACTGTAGTGTAGCCTAGGCAAACGGTCACTGCCTATCTTGAGAATGTATGAAACACATAAGTACACTATGGAATGTATATGCAGAGTTTCTAGTACCGAAGCAGGTGCCGAAAACACACTGTGCTGTAAACAGTCAATGGATTAAAATGATGAAAAGGAAAGATCATCTCTGTACTTGATTAACTAAACACCATACCATTAAGATGTATGAGGGCATGGAGATATATTTCCACCATTTTTGACTTCGGCACTAGATGGGAGTGGTCAGCTTCACGCCCTGGCCGCCTTAGCCCCTGAAGAAGGATCCCCCGATACCCATTTCATAGGAGTCAGGGTAGATCCCAGAGTCGGTCTGAACGCTGTGGAATAAAGACAAATCTGTTGTCTCTGCTGGGAATCGAACTCCAACTCCTCGTCTGTCCAGGCCGTAGTCCGTCTCTATATCGACTGAGCTATTTAAATTACTAAGCTTTTTGACAAATTTTGTTTTATTATTGTAAGCCAAATGGAATTATAAGTTGCAAAACGTTCATGCTACATACTCTGTTTGGCAGATTGGCTATCACATGTGCAATATTAATATATTTACTTATTCTACGCTTTCCCGGCGGCAAATTGTTGATGTTGATCCAGATCTTGGGTAGGTGCACCTTGTGGATTGTATAATGTTGCCCACATTTCAGAGGTACATGCTGTATTTGTCTTCAGAGTGGAACACGTAAACACTGAAGATGGAGGCAACAAATATTTTCGAAAGGTGATGACACGGTTCACATCTACTAGTGTAACAAGACAAGAACGGAATCAACATTAACATATTTGTAATAATTTGAAGTCCACTATCTCAAATTTATGCTGAATGATATGTGTGTTGTTATAGCCATCGTTAGTGTGTGTGTGTGTGTGTGTATGTGTATGTGTATGCATGCATGTCTATTCCTGTAATAATTTTGAACAAAGAAACAGAGATTAACACTTAAGATCATCACCTGGGCCGCGACATAGCTCAAGCGGTTAGTCGCTGGCTTCCCACCGCGGCGGCCCGGGTTCGATCCCGGGTCTGGTCAAGTGGAATTTGTGGTGGACAAAGTGGCACTGGGGATAGTTTTCTCCGAGTACTTCGGTTTCCCCTGCCAATCTTTATTCCACCAACTGCTCCACAATCACCCTCACCTATCATCTGGGGCTTGTACAATAGGCCAGAAATGGCCACAGTGCAAGGGACTTAATCCCACCCCACTAGCAATAAAAAAAAGATCATCACCTTCTCATACGTTCCAGTATCCTACCATAAATACTAGAAATATGATGATCTCTGGATTTTAGAGGCAAGAGTAGCGTTGGTGACATATACTGTAGGGCCCTAAAATGCTGTGCTTTGACAAAGATTTAAGTTACAACGTGATAATCATACGGAAATCCTTCCAGTTCACTGCGAGATATGGAATTTTGTATGTTATGTGACCAAAGAAGCCAAAAATCAAGTATGAAATATTAATGAGTGTACTAAGTATTATAAAGGTGGTTGCGATCGGTTATATCTTAAAATTCAGGATGTACTCATAGAAAATCGTATTAGCATTTTGTGCAAAAAACGTATAGAATATGAAGCTTAATTTGTATAGTATAATATTCGATACTTAAAGCCGACAAAGATGCCGAACAGTTAATTCAGTCTGATAGCACAGTATGATATTCGAATAATGCTCTCATCGAAAAAAACTTCAATGAAGTAGTTATAAGACATTTAAAGATCTACAGAGTAAATCTAAATTATTGTCGGGATTTTCGTGGTCTATAATTTTCCAACCGAAAACAACAAAATAAAACTACTTATGGAGTATAAAAGTTAATTCAGAACGTTTTAAAATCAATACCGTAGATCGTTAAACAACTTAGACATGCGCGCCCTTCTTGGCGAGTAAGATGTCCAAGCGGTATTCAGTTTCCCACCAGTTCTCCAGAATTTCTGTGTAACTGTTTCGAATGCAGCAACAATTCTGAGCTTCAGTTCATCGAAGGAATCACAGGGTCATCTGAAGGTGAATCTTTTCTATATTGAGTTCTGCAACGACGTTGCTGTTTGATAACGGGCTTTGTTTCGAGAAACCAAAGAACTCACATTGCTTTCTTTTGAACAGTCGCCATTTTTATTATGACAGCATGTGTTCTCTCGAACACATGCCGTCAGTACAGCATTACCAAATACAATTTTTTTAGTTACATTTTCATATTCTTTAATCGGTTTTATTTTATTTTTTCCGGCTTGAAAATTACAGACCACGGAAACTCCGACAGCAATTTAGGATCACATTGTAAATGTTCAATATCTTTAATTACAGAATCCACTACCACGGCATCCGACGAAGAAAGCACATCTAACTTAACGTCTCCGAAGTCAACAAAACTGAGACCTGTGACCAGAGTCAGAGGCGCCCTTTCTCAGAAGAGAACGCAGCAATCCAGCATGCAGGAAAACAGACTATCCGCTATTCAGGTCGTTGCCCCTATCACTGAACAGGACCTGGCGTCCACTACTGAGGGCGAAGTTTTGGCTACCTCCACGTCTCTTCCTGTTACAACAGAATCCAAAGATCTGACAATAAAATCAGGCGCCTGGTATAAGCAGACCGAAACCCTCTTTCAAATTATTAGTACAAACACCGAAATTTCGACTAGTTCCGATGTGGAGAGAGGGCATATTAGCTACAAACCTTATTTCATTCCTTCATTGCAAGTAACAGTAGATACTTCAATGACAGCTGATGATAGTGTTACCACTTCAACAGAATCTTTTGGCAGCACCACAGAAATGCCTGAATTAACAAGTGTGAAAGATAGTACAACTGCCGAAGGTTTTCATGCTGGTACCTTATCAGTTGAAGACGATACTTTGTTGTCTACAGTGACCGCAGATGAACCTGTTGTCACATCTACCACTGGGAGGTGGTTTCAGGAAACAAGAGAAAGTGGCGTTGGGCTAGGAAACTACCAAGGAACCTCTCATGACATCAGCAATATAAGGGAAGAGAGTAAAGAAGGGGATGGAAACAAGCAAGGAGGTAGCAATACAGATGAAAAGCTGCTGGAAGGGGACACTGCCCTATCTGAAAACGAAGACGGGACTCTGATGGAAGGGCACATTTCAGAGGATGTGTACAGTCAGGGGAATGTTTCTGGTAGCAATTCAGACGATGAAAGTAAAGATACAGGTGACGGTCTACAATTGGATAATAGTCAAAGTTCCCAGAAACTGTCTGCAGTCTCTGGTGAAGGAGAAAATCCATACCTCCTCCACAATGAATCTCCCTACTACGGCGACTCGGGGGCTGTTGCTCATGATTACACTCCTGAGGCAACCACTGCGGAAGCAACAGACACGCCTGCTACAAACGGAACCGGAACCAGTGCAAGTACGTTATGCTAGAACGAACTTTCTTGTTCAGTTTTATTCCCCTTCTTGCATTTTCCCACGTTCATAGGTTTCCTGTCCTATATCCAATAACTACCGACCATTTCGTACTCTGTCTTTCAGAATTCCTTCTCACACTCCCTTTAACAAATCCATGTAATCATGATCTCATTATTTCCATATCTGCAGGTTCTTTAACTACGCTTTCAGCAGTTCAGCTCTTATGGCGTCCAATCATTACTTGATGGTGGATAATCACACAATTTTGGCGTGATTTCTTGGAGTTTTTCTGCTTACGAAATATGAAAGTGTGACTCAAATTATTTATTCTGCAGGTAATGAAACATTTTAGTTACACTTTCATATTCTATAAGTAGTTTTATTTTATTTCCAATTTGAAAATTATAGGGCACGGAAACTCCGATAATAATTTAAAATCACCCTTACCGGATATGATCCATCAGTCCACCTGTTGCTTTCTTATGTGGTTACTTACGATTTCCAAGATCAACAAACGCCTCTTTTTAAATGCTGATCTCTTCCTCTTATAAAGAGAAATGTGTCACTCAGTTTTATATTCATCATGCCAATTTCCCTTTCTTCTGTTATTTCAATGCCACCTTTGTTCCATCTTACCTACCATAATCTCATTAAACGTAAAATGTAAATTTCTGAGTTTATTGCTAGCAATTTTAATACATCTTACATTTAGTGATTCCTGACATTTCAATTAAGAAATCTAAAGTTAGTTTTCAGTTGCTTCGGTTATACCAAAAAAAGCCAAAGTCCCAGGTTCGGTCTAACATTTTGTAGTATTCTAATTTTAAGCTTAATGGACATAGTCAGTGTCTTATTTCACAGTCATTTGATCAAAACTTGACTCAGTCAACAGAATATTTGAGTCATGATTTAACTATTGTCAGCACGCCTGTGGTTAACAACACTGCTTCATATCCATATTTTGGATTTAAAACTTTACCTCAGAAATTGTCTATAATGGCAAAAAATTCGTGATCTTCTTCAGTATTTTTAGACGAATGCTAGAAAGAAAACAGAAGTAAAAGCGCAGTCTCCATTCATGTTCTTTACAATTCACTATTCACAATAATCTTTCCGGTGGGTACTGGCAGCCCACAAAGGGTTGTTAGATGAGTCAAAACATTTTCTTTATATTACATTGCAGCCTTGTACAAACTGTATTTACAGCGTTTCAGAATCAATTATTAACTCTTCTGAAAAATGGAAATAAGAAGTACATATCAATATGTAATATAACTGAGCCCTGTTAACGCTTTCCATACCATTTACTTCTATTACATCTTGTCTGGCAGGGAATAAGTGGGCTCCCTTTTCATTTTGGGGAATAATTGTAGCTGACACACACAAACCATCGAACAAAGAATAATTAGATATAAATTATTTCGTTCAGATCAAAAAACAATGGTGCATGTTATCCGCAGGTGTTGGGGAAGTGGAGACATTTGCCCCTCCCGGAGGCGAACAAGTAACCACCTGGGGCAGCAGCCCTAGCGCTAATGAATGGGACGCTGACACAACGACGCTTCCATCAGTGTACAACGTTCCATTCTATCTGGTTCTCTCCATCAACGCGTCCTGGCCTGTTTTCTGCGATCATCTAGCCGAGTTCAAGCAGTCGGTTGTAACTCTCTTGATCAATAACGACAGGTAAATTTTGTTTGAAACATCTTCAGTGGTACGTCATACCTCGAGTAGGCAACCACACAGAAGAAAATTCCAGTGTATTGAATGATATCATCCTCATAGAGATTTTAGTTCATATGTCGTATTGATGTGCGTAAAGTTGCACGTCAACATGTGAAGACGATGCACCCAGACAGAAGTTTTACACACACAATGGGCTTTTTACCCCTCCCAAGATTTCAAAGCACTGATTATCAGTCACACCACGAACTGTATGACATTTTAAGTTCCCACGGCGACGAAAAGACATAAATTTCTTGTGGGTGAAGGGGATGAGAGCCGATCACAGCGTCCGCGCGGCCTAAGGCATGAACTGCCCTCGCTCGCTCGAACGTTGAGATCGTGGGTTCGAATCCCACTTGAGGAATGGATGTCTGTGTGAGTTTATTTTGTGTGTGTGTTATCCTGTGTGTAGGTAGCAGCCTTGCAACGGGCTGATCACTCGTCCAAGGTGTCCTACCGTCTGTGCAAAAAAGATAACGAAAATGAAAAAGAGACCAGGGCCCAACAAAGGCCCTAGAGTCATTGATGAATGAATGAATGAAATGGGGTGGGGTGAGACAGAGCTCTCTTGTACGTCAGTCACGAATTTACCCAATATACTAGCCCTAGATGAGAGATGAGTATGAAGAATTTAGCGGAATTAGAATTGGTAAGGGGAACTGAAGTACTCGGAGAAAGTGTCCCAGTGCCACTTTGCTCACCACAGGTCTCACATGACCTGACCTGGGATCGAACGCAGGACGCCGCAGTGGGAAGCAGGCGACTAACCGCCTGAAATATGGCATAGCCTTTCCCACGCCGATAAATAGGCAGAATATGTCACAAAAAATGTGTGATCATGAGATGTTTACCGATGTTTCGGAGGAAACTTATGCTCCGGTCATCATGAAGGGAGAGTAAGCCAAGGTTGGAAAAATTAGTGCGGATATTGAGAGAGAAGGCGTGCAGGGGCCCAGAGAGGAAAGTTAGGAGTAAGAACTGTGAAGGGATCCGAGGCCCTTAAAAATGTCGCGTTCAGTGGTAGGGAAAATGTGGCACACGCAGTAAGCCCCAAGTGTGGCACCAGGCTCAAACCAATGGAGCCTGTTCCCGATAAATATACCACTGATGGACATATGGTTCCTTCAACAAACTGAGTGCAGCAGATCATGAGGCGCCGCAATTCTGGGGGGAGGGGGAACATGACCGCGTTTCCCTCATTATGAAATACTACCATTACATTATAGAGGAACTGAAGAAATCCACGAAGAACCTCAGTCAGCGCACAAGTTTCAATCTTTCCCGTTCATATACCTGTACCGAGTACAAAGCACTCACATGGCAGTTTAATTTAAACTATATTTTCGCTTAAATATTTTCAAAATTAATATTTAGACCTACATTTGAAAGTTGATAATAGTCCCTAGAATCATTTGAAAAATATCACATTAGAATTTATACCACAAGAAATAGTGTTGCAATTTTAAATACTATGTTTTCAAATTCGATACCCATTCATGGAATTTACAATTTTTTTCAAAATGTGGGTCATGTATCAATAACGTACGTGTCTAAATGTCTTTCTCGCTTTGATAGGAATAATGCCCTTTTGCTCAGCTAAAGTTACTGTTGCGTTAATGAAGGCGGGTGTTGTATCGGAAGTTGTGTGTTGGAGGAACGAAACATGTTTTAAGAATATCACCAAAGCAAGTGCGCTGTTGAAAGAATTATCCGAATCACTTTTCTATGTATTTTATACACAGCTGTGTCACTTCCAGTGATGCAATCATTCTTTCTCTATTCGTACTTTTGAAGTATAAAAATCAACTACCAGTCAAATGCATGAATAGTGTTAATCAGGTCACATCCTTGAATTCCTGTTGTACGCCCATGTCCCCGTAAAAGTACTTTTCAACTTAACTGGATGCCAATGTTACAATAACAGACAAGTAAAAGTTGTTAAATTTTCCAAAGATTTCAGAGATTGAACATTAAGGTCAGCCATTAAGCACGATTCCTATTTAGTTCAACCAAACTGATAACTCCAAAACTAATTTATTAAAAGTTTCATACTTTCTTATTAAAAAAAGTGTTTACCGAGACATTACATTGCAACGATAAGGGGATACATATACAGACCCACAGAATCTCCTTCTTTGTTTCGAGTATTCGTGGCCGCGGGAACGTGTGTACCGATCCGCTCCCTAGCAACTAAAGGGGGATACACATACAAGTACAAGCACACAGACTAATGGGAGGGATTTATGAAGTGCGCCGTTGAGATGAGCTCTGGTGCCGTGATACAAGCACCAAGTTTAATAAAGATTGAGTTAGGCATTAAAAACTGGTAGGAGTAATAAGCAGACACACAGAATGGAGATCGCATAAGCCTACTTTTATTTTCTTCAAAGTAACGAAAGTAGGCTAAAATGAAAGGAGGCTTATGAGATCACCTTGTTGTCTGGTGTGTCTATCTGTTCGTGTCTGTCCATCTGTCTCTACATCCTCTTCCCTAATTTTTGTTAGGAAGCTTATGAAACCACCTTTCTGTCTTTGTGTCCCCTATCGCCTCTGGGAAACTGACCGTTGCTAGTTACTATTATATAATATCAATATTTGTCTGTCCCCCCTCCCCGTTCTTTTTTTTTATGCAGTTTCTCTCCTATCAGAATAAAGTAGGCGATGAGTTCTTCCCAGAACTTCTGTATTGTTACCGTCCCATGCCCCCAGTCTTCTAAGCCCCCAATTTACAGAAGTTCACTCACGAATTTCTATGATATTTCTTGTTTTCTCGAATAAATGTCATATACTGAATATTATTATAATACCAAAAGATACTTAAAAAGTAAATAAAGTCGAGGAGATCAAGAAATTGCTTTGTCCGTGGTGTTTTATATATATCGCTATCAGAATACCAACATCATCAACTAATAACTTGGTTAATAAGGAACTGTACTGCGAATAATCGATGTAATTTATGAGGTCACAGAACCCCCAAAATACTTATTGTTTTCAGGTACATAGAGTCTTATCAAGTCATTTTGCCAAACGCTGAGTCGACGCGCTGTCCAAGCACTGAAGCCTCCCCAGTAAGTCCGATTGAAGTTGACATGTACCTAGCGAGTGAGGGCAACAAATTCGATCATCAGCTCACATTGGATTTCTACACTTTCTGGCGAGAGTCAGGGCTGCCGGAATTCCCGATTGATGTAAGTTATTTTAAATGCACAGCATCAGTAGTTTTCTTTTCTCATGGGGTGAGACTGAGTCCACTTTGTACTGCGGCCACTGTTTGACCAATTGAACCGGCCCCAGATGATGATGATGATGATGATTGTGAAGTAATCGCTGGAATGTGAATTGGCAGAGCAAACCGAAGAACTAGGAGAAAACCTGACCCAGAGCCACCTGTTAAGATCTGGAAAGAATTCTATCTTTTGGAATATAACGCCGTGTAGTCTGTTGAAGATCAACCGACGTTTCGGAGGAACATGTGACTTGCATCTTCAGGTGAAGCAGGTAGCAAATTTAACGTCTGCTTCATGTTGATTTCTTTCTTGGTCTATTCTTCAAACCTGAAGATGGAGGCGACATGTTCCTACGAATCTTCCGTTGACTTTCAACTGACTACACGGCGTTATATAACAGAACATATAATTTTTCACAAACACATCTCAAATCCTACAAATGAAACCTAATTCTATAGGACATCCACTATCACATAAGTTAAGAACCCTATTGGTGAGCCTCGACATCACAAAACTTCAGTTTCTTAAACTTTGTCAATTGTAAACAGTCTATCTGCTCTGCGGTGAGCCGCGGAGCACGAAATATTACTCGTTCTAATCAGTATATAAATAGCATGCACACGGACAAGTCTTCTATGGAATACAAGGGACTGGAAGGTCCAACGCTTTCCTCACAGAAACACTGTAAAGATTTTGAAGAAATCTGTTGTCTGATACACGAGCATTGTTATTTTAATTTTATAGTTGAATTTTGAGATGAAGTTGTGATGGTACACTAATCAAGCAAGTTTCTTGTAGCAGTAACTTTCTGACTTGTATTCGGGTGGTATCTGTTCCGAATTTCACCCTGGACATCGACTATCCTGACTGAGGGTCTTCGCAGTTTTTCTTTTAGTCTCCTCAGGCAAATTCTGAAATAACACCTGAAATTAAGCCCACGCCACTTTCTTCTAATTTTCGAGTTATTCATTCATCATCCTAAAATTCCATGTAATGTAGCCAGACTTATCTGCGACGTCGCTAAGTAAACCGTAAATAAAATTAATATTGTGACGTGTAGACCCATTCCTAGGGAACGAGTTGACAAACCCGTTTCCGTAAAGATGGATTCTTGGAAACCAACCTATTACGGGCCGGCGTGTCCATGGATACGGGCATGGGTGATCAACAGACTTTTCCTTGGATGCGGGAAGGTAAGATATTTTCTCTGTCGGACTGACCCGACGTTGTACAATAAGAAACCCAGATCGAATCCAGTCAGATTAGCAGTGTCCGTGTGAAGGCGGCGTCGAATACATCCACCGTAGCCGTGCGAGTCGAAGGAGGCAACAAAAAGTGAACCCAGTGCCTGGGGAGTAACTGCGCCGCCATGTTCCTGGGGGAAATACGTAAATGCGGGGACCTGGCCCTCCAGGTTGGGGGTGCCGGGCCTTAGAATAACAGCGCTGGCGAGGTCCAGGAGCAATTATAAACTACAGATCCATCATATCATCAGAGAGGATTAGGGCTATGAAAGCAACTATTCAGTTGAAAAAGGAATTGTTGGTCGTGAACCTCAAGGGGCTTGTCACCGAGACGAACTGATTTGCGGTAAACCGCCAACTCTGACTCTCTGAGTCTAGTCGGAATAGAGATCAGAATGGAGGCAGATCAGAAGAGAGAAATGATTCAGAGATCAGATCGAAATTGAGTTCTAGGCAGTCAGTGAAGATTTAATGCGAGTTCTTGTAATTTATTGCCATTACGAGTGATTTTACAAGGAGTGAGCGATAAATCCAATCAAGACCACGTGTTATTAGTCACACCCATAAATGTGACAATAACAAAAGGCAGACAGTATACAATGGAAGATTTTGAAGTGTACTGTCTTCTGAGACGTAACACTGTGTAGTCCGCTGGAAGTCAAGTTCAAGCAGAACTGTAGCTGCAGCCTGATTCACACTTATTTCTTGCTTGGATTAGTTTTCGATCCTGAAGATAGAGACGACATAGTCATCCGAAACGTGGGTTGACTTTCAACGGAGTACACAGCGTTTTTTCTCGGCGATTAGTAGAGCACCGTATCTTCACACAGAATGATTCAGGCATATTATGACCATTTGCAATCAATGAATTCCATGTGGCTGCCAGAAGTAAATATGAGAATATGCCTTGCTACAAGGTACTGGTCAGTGTTGCAAAACGTGTTGCACCATTTTCGTGCCTAGTTCCAAAAAATGTAACTCGTTCCTAGAATTTTGGGTAAATTTCTCAGGCCTTGTGATCATGAAGACATTCTTCATTTTAATCATTTATAGTCATTAGGCCTGTTTCATTCGTTGCAGTATAAACTACATATCTTATCTGTGGCTCTAAAAAACTTCATTGGGCCTTGGTCGCTTTTCAGTTTCGTAATCGTATACACAATCGGTAGGACACCTTGGACGGGGGATCAGCCCCGTTACAGTGCTTATGTCAATACTCGGAACAACACAAATATATAGAATAAACGCACACAGATATCCATGCCTTGAGTGAGATTCGAACACACTACCCCAGTGTTCGAACGGGTGAAAACTGTTCATGCTTTAGACCACGTGACCACTGTGATCCGCACTGCATAAGCTATACAGTAATGAAAGTTAGGTCAAATTGATCTTACATAAGTAAGATGTGGGATGGGCTGGATAAAACTGAGTCAGGGTAAGTTCCACGGGCGGGCTCCTGAGAACGCGGTATGGAACCTCCGGTTTCAACAAAGTGCGGAAAGTCGACCAACTAAACAATTATCGTGTTCTCAAGATGGGCAGTGTTTATGAAGTGTCTGAGTTAAATAAACAATATGAGGTAAGTTAGCTTTGAAGTTCTCGCATCGGTGACTATGAAGAGTACGTTTCTCGGGGTTGTAACGCCCAAAGTTTCAGAGGAACATAACGCCTCCATATGTAGCGACGATATGTTTCTTCGAAACGTCGAGTTTTTTCCCAACTGCAAGGCGTTAAAGCTAAGAAGACAGTACTTCTAACAAGGAATAAAACGGTGTTTCTTTCTTACGTACCTTACGTACAAAACAGGCAAAAATAATGTGAACTATGAAGGTGCAGGTGAGCGAATAACGAGTGTAGCTCGTGATAAGTCACCGATAAGTCGGTGCGTCAGCCAGCTGACATTCAGTTTAACGGGAATGACACGAGTGGACGGACAGGCTTCAAAATCTACAGAAATTTCTGTTGCGGCTTTCAGAAATTTGTATAACCAGGTAAGGTGGAAGTTTTAATTATAAAGGATAAAATTGTCCATTTGTTTAATTAAATGCCATTCCGTGAAGACGTCTAGGGAATAGGAGGTTTAGTTCCACGCATTCTTAACATATGCATTAGATTGACGCGAGTGGTGGAATTTACGCCATGATCAATTTAGCGCAGGGAAAAATACCCCTTTACCCACTAGATTGGAGACTAGTTGGACTCAATAATCCGTTTGGATGCTGTGAAGAAAAGGAAAAAAAAACATTTTTCTCCTGTCCAGAATCGAACCCCGATTCCCCCGTCGTTCTGCCTGTGACACGATTTGTAGACTATGAAATTTGGGGTAATTATCAGAAATTTATAAATGCGTTATTTCCGAGTTTACACCATAATAAGTATCGTTAACATGAAAATTTCTTTCATTTAATGTCTTTGTTCAGGAGATGTGGTTCTTGCCGACATTTCTCGATTATCCCCCTTAACTCTTACGTTGTTTCTTTCAATTCACTCCGTTTCTCATTTTTAGTTTGTGTGATATACTTTCCCTTTCACTTCTTCGCTCATTCTTATTTTATGTGCTGTTATTTACGTGTCACTCATTCGCGCCTTCTTAAATTCTTTATTATAATTCCTGTTATTGCTTCATTTTTTCTTAAGTTGTGTTAAGGTTATGTTATTCTACTTTAATTCCTTCAATTATTCGTAATTTCTATGGTTGTTTCTTCCCTGCCATTACTTCTTAACTGGTGTGTTTTTATTTCACTTTCACTCGCTCGCTTATTCTTAACTGGTGTGTTCTTTCACTTTCACTCCCTCGCTTATTCTTAGCTGATGTCTTATTCTTTCCCTTTAACTCTCTCGTTTATTTTTAACTTGTGTGTTCTTTCCCTTTCTCTCTTTCTCTACTGGTGTGTTGTTATTTCCTTTTCATTTCTTCGTTCATTCATAACTAGTGTGTTCTTTCCCTTTCACCCATTCACTCATCATTAACTTTTGTGTCGTTCTTCGCATGGTGATGCGACTTCACTGCAGATGTAGGCAGGATACTGTAGTGAGTGACGTCAGTCAGGGAATAAACTTGGGTTTCAAACGAAGCTGCAAACCACCAGTGGGTTAGCTTCCATACGGAGCTACAGCCACATACCACCACAAAATTACAGAAAGTTTTTAAAGTGTCTTGCCCCTCCCTTTGCAACATAATACAATATTGCAGGAGACCAATTCAAGTACATGTAAAACGGCAGTTAAGGCCTAACTATGTCTTCGAATCGTGTACCTTGCTTTAGACTTTAGGAAGAGTTTCGACTCATTTTACATGCCCAATAAGATTCCATGATTTAGTGCAACAGCCCGTTCCTTGGTCATTCACCTAAGTAACCTGGTCCCACACGAGCATCCAGGATATCGTTAGACGTAAGAGGAGGTAGACTGAAAAGTGGCTGTGTGCAATACACATTGCATGCCTCCTCATTTTGATATTACTGCAATTGTCAGATATACAACGAGACTCTCTGAGTTCACACTTCAGTACGGAAAGGTCAGATTACTGTTTCAGTATTTGCGATCTTGAATACTTGACAATGGAGGGCAATGTAGTACAGCATGGCCTTCAGAACTACGTGAAATGCGATACATTTAGAAATATAAAAACGTAAATAAGGGTAGAACTTTTGGGCATTAAACGGGCTAAAAGTAAGTGGTGTATTACTGAAAGAGTTACTTGAATATGTGTCAATTAAGCGTTTTCTTTCGTCGCGTTGAAAGTACATGAATGATAGAGGTAAAAGGTAGAAATGTTGTCCTTGTGATTAACTATTTAAGCACTACGCCATGAAAACGTATGGGGTAGTGGATATATAGATCCACTTGACCTCGGCACTAGTTGGAGGCGAGTGGTCAGCTTCACGACCCGGCCACCTTACCCCCTGGAAGAACCCCTCGTACCCATTGGATTGGAGACTGGGTGGGCCCCAGAGCCGGTCTGGATGACGCGGGGAACAAAACATTCTTAATATTACCGGGACTCGAACTTCGAATCTTCGGCCGTCCAACCCGTAGCCAGTAGCTATACCGACTGCGCTATCCTGGCTCCGTACATTAATGGTAGCAAACATATCTAGGAACATTAGGAATCAAAATGTGAACGAATTCTGAAAGAGAATTTTAAAAATTCTTTCAAATTTTCTATTTACTCTTATTCCACAAATTGGTCAGTAGACTTCCCGTCTGTTCCTACACCGCGACATTAGAGAGAATTTAACGACGCAAATGAAATTGTGCGGAGCAGGGAGAGCTCAGTTGGCAGTGCGATGGGCTACCGGCTGGGTGGTCGGAGTTCTCTACTCTGCAGCAGCCATACCGGCTCATGGGTCCACCCAGCCCCCTATACAATTGTTAAAGGGAACTCTTTTCCCCAGGATAAAGCAACCGGGGCGTAAAGCTAACCACTCACTTCTATCCAGGTCCTACGTCAAGAACGATGGACCTATAAATCCACTCCCCCATAAGTCATAATGACATGGTGATTAATTAATTAAGCATAGGAATAACTTTACCTTAGCCTGTATGCAATTTGTGTAATATCTTTATGTGATGAAATTAGTTTTTCTTTTGTAGCAAGGACAGAAATTCGAAGGTATTTTCGTTTCCAGTAAAGAATGTCTACATTGTCGCTGTCATTTTATTTTATTTATTTATAGTACAGGAGTTAAACAGCGCAGAGTCTCGCACAACTATGCAAATGGACTCAACAATACATTTATAATAGCATTATTATTAATTTTATTATTACTACTTACATTTTAATGATGCTGTCTCTAACTCATGCTATGAGTTACTGTATGATAATGAATAATGAATTGGATAGGATATGAAAGGAAGCGATAGTGACCTAATTTAAGGCACTTTCTTGGCATTTGTATGGAGGGACTGAGGAAAAGCGCTAAAATTCCCAGTCAGGACAGTCCCGATCGAGATTCGAACAGAGCACCTTACGAATACAAGTCAGAATTGTTACTGCTTGATGCATCTTGCTCGGCCTCTACTCATGTTCTTTGATCTTTAATTACACTGTATTGACACATGTATTTGTATCGGACTTCATCATGGTGAATTTGGAAAAAAATTTATATTTTCTGAAAGTGTGAGAACACGGCGAATCGATGTCTAAGTATAACTCAGTTTCTTGTCATCTCAGATCAACACCGTGCAGCCCGCTGGACAGATTTCTGACGGCGCTCCTGAAGGTGCTGATGAGGGAGGGGGTATGATAGCTGCCATCACCATCTCATGCATTGGGGCTGCGTGTCTACTCTTGCTGGCGGCCCTCTGGGTGAGTAGCTTTATAAGTCTGTACATCAGTCCAGATTTATTTTTTGTGGAAGAATGCAGATTTTATAAACCATCGCCAAACAACAAAGAACTAATAGCGAAGTATGAAGCGCCAGGAAAATCGCAGGGCGTGAATCTCTACCACAGCAGAACAGACCCGAGGATATATACCCCTACGATAGCCTACAACAAGACACATTCAGTTATTCAGTATAGAGGGGGTGGGTTTCCCCATGCACCGCGACTAATAGCCTATTGTACGTCCCCTTTTAATTTCTACTGTCGCCATACCCTACCGATACTGGTGCTAGCTATTCCCCCCTTTCTGCCAGCGAGGTCGGCCCTCTACTGGCAGTGGTACCCGATAACTTCCCCATGTACCGGAGGCATTGGAAAGTACTTGGGCGGGAAACATTTTGCCTAATTTTGCTCAGAGGTCTCCTAGAGACATGAGGATCTTTAACGTGCCGTAAATCTACGACACGGGACCGAAGGCTTAAAGTCCCTCCCGGAGGATTTGTTCCCGGAATTTTTCCGCCCTTAAAAATTCCACGACCTCCGCCGGGTTTGAATCCGCGTACCTTGAGTCATGAGGTGGGAACGTTACCCCTAGACAACGGAGGCCGCTTTACGACAAGACACATAGTCCCAACCATTATCTAAGCAGGGTAGACTACCCGGCCAACCGACCGACTTCTTTGGAAGATCTCGGTCGCTCAGCTACTCAAGAATTTCGCAATATTTTATGGAACCTGAAGGTTCATTACCGTGTCAACAAGAGCCCTCCACTAGTCCCTGTCCTGAGCCTGATACCACCTAATCCCACTTCTTCAAGATCCACTGTCCTACCTACATGAGTGGGATAGTCTGTAGAACATATATGCCTCACATGTACCAGTGACACGTCTCATTTCTGCAGAATAGAATTGGACATTACAGCCAACTTGCAGCATATAAATGTTCCCCTCTGTGTACTGCATCTGCTGGCACAGGTCGTGATGCGCAAGCGGCAGCAGAGATTCAACTACGGCCAGCGGTGCACACCAGTGTCTCTAGATGCATACAGCCTCGACAGCGTGTCTGTGTGTGGCTCAGTCAGGCGTAAGACCGGAGCCAGGAACTCGAAGCGATCATATGGTAACGCGGGATTTGATGATCCAGTGAGTATGAAGCAGCAATTTCTTTTGATTTACTTAATGATACTTTATTAACTGCATCGATTCATAATATTGTATCTAAGCATCTTGCTTCTTTAGTTCATCACCTGGTGTGTACTATATGCAGGCAATACTGTCTTCAGTGTACTTTCACGGGTTGCTGGTTGAATCACCGCTTAGTTCACGCTTTCATGTAAATTGTTACACTACTTTATGTAGCCCTTGAAGGCTGTTTCGATTAGTGGGGGGTGGAGTCCAACTGGGTCCACTCAGCACGGCGGCCACTGATTGGCCTATTGTACCTGCCCCGGGTGATTATGATGGTGGAGAATTTGGTGGAATGAAGATTGACAGGGGAAACCGAAGTACTCGGAGAAAACCCGCCCCAGTGCCACTTTGTCCACCACAAATCCCACTTCACCAGACCCGGGATCGAACTCGGGCCGCCGCGGTGGGAAGCCAGCGACTAACCGCTTGAAGCTATGGCTCGGCCTTTTGAGGGTTGCTCGTCCGGAAAGTTTATTATTTAAACCAATTTGGTACCAGTCAAAATTTAATATACACGTATAAAAATGATTTTAAAATATTTTAATACCGTGGAATGACATATTGTGTGTCGTGTCATTCTTTCTTACCACCCACGAAACACACATCTCTGCGAAAAGCAAAATCCAAAATGCAAGGAAGAAGAATATCACGATACAGAATGCATCATTTTACATCATTATCAATTTTTAAAATCGTAAGTAAAATTAGGATTAAATTCCATTAAACACAAAAATATTTTAATAACAAAATAAATGCTTTATTTTATTATTAAGGATATTATTGCGTTTGATGAAATTTAATCCTAGTTTTACTTATGTTCTAGGATGCAACGGTCGAGAGCAATGTCAATCATAAAAATTTTAAAATCAGTTTTGTGTATTAGATTTTAATAGGTAACAAACTGTTTTAAACAGTAACCCATTCAGACTTACAGCCCTTACCGGTTATATTACAATATGACACAGTATAAAAATTTACGCGAATCATCATATATACCTGAGGATGGCCCTGTTTGCCCGAAACATGTCCCTGAATACCTGGACTGTGATGATTCAGCCAATAACTTGTGAAGCTGCATGGAAGACTTCATTGTGTGTGTAATTATATATATAAATGCATTGATTGTATATTGCCGAACGAGAAATAAGATTATTTTACGTGAGCAGGGAAGGGTTTTAAGAGGACGTATCCGTCCATGTTTTATGATTTTATTGAAGGGATTGAGGAAAATCATTTATTTTTTTTATTTCCTTATGAGTTATTTAAAGATGAGCTCAATAACGTCGAATGGATGAGCTTTCTCTCTAGGTAGTACCAATAGGCATATTTAAATAATAATGTACTAGTGTGTAACATTGATCATGAAATGAAGAAACAATGCTTCTCAAGTTATGCAAATTGCAGAGAACAAACATTCTAAGCTGAGAATTGAAGTTAGTATTTAGACTCGGCATGACTCAGACAATTAGATTCCACTGAAGGACTTGGCAAGAAACTTTCCTCATAAAAGTGCTGTGTCCTTTGATTTATATATTTATGTAGCTGTATATTTTTATTTGTTAAAAATAACGACGTTTCATTGACCACATATGCACAGGTTATAGGTTGCAGCGCTGAATAAGAGGCTGTTTATGAGTATAAATCAGGGGTTTCCTGTTCATGACACCTTCGAATTTCTGTGGAGGTGTTGAATACCTTGAAAGCACCAATCAGAACGGCCGGTCACACAGCCGAGATTTAGAGGTCTCAAACAACTGAGCACGAATATTCAGGAACAGTCAACACATTTCCACGTTCTATCCGTAAAAGTATTTATGAAAATAGATTAAAAATTACTTACCATTAATATGAAGTTCAAGGAATATTTCAAACAAATGCTATAGCAATGTAGTGCTTTTATATTATGCATAGCGCAGACAGTGTAGTGACTATTCTACAGGCTGGAGTACCGGAGAATAAGGGTTCAATTCCCGGCGGAGGTAGAAATCTTTCTGTTCACCATGCGTTCATACCTGCCGTGGGGTCGCTCAACAACTTAACTAATGGGCAGCGGGGGGTACTTTCCCCGGTGTCAAATCTGTTGGGGCATGAAACTGACCACTCACCTCCCTCTAGTACCGAGATCACGAATGCGTGAAGCTATTCGTCAGCATCCCCACACATCTTCAAGATGTAGAACTGCACACGGAAAACTTCATGATGGACTGACCTTGTCAATTCTAGTCTGCACCTTCACATCCTATGGGATTCGCGGGGTTGGCGAATTTCAGTCTGAACAGGGAATCTGTGGAACAGGAGTTCGCTAGGATCCCGCAGGTTACAGCCAACGTTGACGACATGCCCGAAGGCGCGGATACCAAGAACCGCTATGCCAATGTGATACCCCTTCCCGAGACAAGGGTACAGTTGTCTCCACGTGAAGGCGAACCACTCTCCGAGTATATAAATGCAAATTTTGTGCACGTAAGTAACGTAATTATTAATTCAGAAATTTACTGAAATCTATCTTTGGTGATTTTGCAGTCACCGTTATTACAGTTGTTTGAGGCACTATGCTACAAGCCGGAAGGCCGCGTGTTTGATTCACGATGAGGTCATTGGATTTTTCAATTGACCTAATCCTTCCAGCCGCACAGTGGTCCGAGGGTCGGCTCGGCCTCTAACAGAAATGAGTACCAGGAATCATCCTGGGGGTAAAGGGCGGCCGGTGCTTAAGGCTGACAACCTCACCGCCGTCTGTGGGCCGATTGTGTAGAAAATGTGTGAGCCTCGACGTCTCACAAACCTATGGGCCTCCATGGCCGTTTACAAGGACAGCTTTACCTTACCTTACCATTATAACAGTGGTATATTTCATTCATAAGTCAGTTTAATAGAACTTTCCGTATAACTACATAGTTTAATTTATTTAAGTATAACAACACATCACCTTACAACTGTCGTCAGAATTATGCTATCTTCGGCGGCTACCCTGGTTCGTGCCCAGGTCTGGTCATGGTGCCTGTGGTGGACAAAATGCGGCTGGGGCAGGTTTTCTCCGATTACTTCTGTTTCCCCTGCCAAATTTCATTCCACCAGTTGCTCCATAATCACCAACAGCTACCATCTGGGGCTGGTACAATAGGCCAGTAGTGGCCGCAGTACCAAGTGGACTCAGCCTCACCCCACTAAGAATAATAAAAGAATGCTATTTACAAGGGTTTATTAACAAGTATTAAAATGCAACATTTTGTGATTGTGTTATATTTAATTAATGAGCCCTGAAGATAGAAGAATTCTGTCGAAACATGTAGCTGAAGGGAACATTTTTTGAACAGATTAAATACATAGACCTGTTGTAACAGACTGTTTTATTAAGTTGACATATTCACCTTTGCTGACATAGGGACCAGTTTCAGTTCTGTCTTCATGACAACACTTCTTTGTCTCTCAGTCTATAATGGCTTCGCCTTGCACCCGATTGCTACATATTTTATTTATTTTTATTTAAAATGCTTTCACTATCCCAGATTTTGCGTCGTCGAATGCAAGGTTGATCAGTGAAAGGTCATAGTCGTAGATTAATTTGATACACTACGTTGACATTTACCTGAAGGGCTGAGGAAAACCACGAATATCGTTAGTAAGGATAAATGGTCTTCGGATCGAAATTTGAACACTGGATCTTCCGAACAAGAAACAGGAATGCTGCTCTCTGAAAAACGACGTTAAATTTTCTCGCTAAACGTGACAGGAACCGTCAGGAGTCAAGTATTATGTGATGTAATGGCAATTCCAGGGCCCCAAGAATGCAAGCAAGTACTACATCGCATGCCAGGCTCCAATGGCGTCTACTGTGATAGATTTCTGGCGCATGATCTGGGAGCAACAAAGTAGAGTCATACTCATGCTAACCGACCTCGTTGAGAATGGAGTGGTAAGTACCGGCATGAACGTAATGTAGCACTTAGCAACATTTTATTTGCAGATTCTGCAGACATGTTTAAGTTTTGAAGAACCATCACAAGTGCTGTCAGCTTTACAGGGCAGGATGGTGGATGAATAGTGAATTTGAAAAGATTTGGAAGGAAACAGTCATGATCTAATCAAACTACTTTCACTTGTAGGGTTTGCGCGACTCATAAACAGGTTTTGGGTTGGATGATTGGATCAGTTGACACCTTATACACAATATTCGGAACTACAGGCAATTACAGCGCTGTCACTGTTCCCACATTTTTACAGTCCACCATTACACACACACACGCTAGCGTTCTCGGTCTTCACTAGTTGTGTTCTGGCAACGTACAGTCTCACTGTCACTTCAAATCACACATGAAACTTCTAATTTCCTTCTTTGCCATTATTCTGCTGCAACTGCCAATTCCGAGGACTCGACTCAGTTCCATTTCTTAACTCTTCACTTCACAACTGAATTCTTCTTTGCAATCACTTTGCACGGACCACGTAGAAAACACAGCCTCTCTATTGGGAAGGCTTGTTAACATTGCCATTGCATAGCAACGGAAGTTATTCGATTGATGCTTACGTTTTGTTGCCGCGGGAATGTGTTTACTGAGTGGATGCCTATTAATAACATCCATTCTGACGTCACTATTTTGGCTTTCGGGCGTCATGTCACAATATTATTCCGGTATCCATACTTGGGGGAAGGGCAGGAAAACAACGGAATATCTCAGTCAGGGTAATCAGCATCCCGGCCGAAATTCAAACCTAAGGATCTCCTAGATGCAAGTAGCATTAGGAGCGTTACTGCCTCACCGACCGTCAGTGCATGTTCAACCGTTGAGTGTATTTGTGTATGTGTAAGCAAACAAAATGTGAAATGTATATATGTATATATCGTCGTCACCTGCCATATTTGTTTCCTCTTCTTCTACCTTCACGCATTAGGCCCTTTGGCCTGTGACCATTCAGAGACAATTAATTCTGAAATTTGTATTTTATAGACAGTCGGTAGGACTCCTTGGACGGGTGATCAGCCCTTCGCAAAGCCACTAAGTACACAGACCAACACAAACACAAAATAAACGCAGACTCATCCCTGCCTCTAGTTGCATTCGAACTCATGATACCCAGTGTTTGAGCGCGTGAAAACATTTCATGCTTTAGAATCCAAAGCTACTGTAATCGGCTGTTTATTTACCTATGTTTCTTTAAATACAGGCACATAATAATCATGGATCACGTTTTGAACCTGCGATCCTTATTCTAAAAAAAATAAAAGTGTGCTTATGTGGTAACATTACTGTATGTGTGCGTGAAATGCCTGAACCAATCGTCATGTAACTTGGTATATAATGCCACCTGAACCCATCTCAACGGCGGACTTCATAAATCCCCTCCATCAGTAATACCAACATTACAGTCACTCAGATTGCTGAGGCAAAAGCTTAGAATTTCTTGAACGCCTGAAAATATTTTCTCTAACAGGGAACAACACACAAGCAAGGGGCATATTGCAGACGTAGCAAACAAGGGCTAAGGAACATAAAAACAAGCGGCTGGAATAAAACATCTGGAATAAATCACATAGCTCTAAACAAGTAGCCGAGGCCCCTTATGAGGTGGGATAGGAATTTAGAAACGTAACGAGAAAAAATTTAATAGACAATTTTAATGGATTTTAATTAAATATTTTTATTCTTTTTTTTTAAGTGGACTGCAGCGCGTTGTTTTAGCGAACATCAGAGCAGTGTAACACAGCTTCGATACATTGACACACCTGAAGATTGCCATCTATGGCCGAAACATATTGTGTTAAGTGTTATATGATGAAAGTGGAGGAATAAAAAAAAAAAAGGAACAATTGTTGCATTATTGACGGACTGTGATATACATAGACGTTAATTAAAGATTTGCAACAGGATGCTGAACTACAGAATGGGAACTGAAGTTTACTATTTCGTCATGAGTGACTAAAAATTGACCATAAGCTGAGGCATTTAGGGCTTAAGTACTTTTCTCGCAAATGTTATTAAGTCTGCTGTATTCCATGTTTAGTCATTTTAAGATGAATGGTGACCCTTCTACACATAGTAAATTTGTTGTATAAATATAAAAATATTGTAAAGTTTCTTCACAGATGTGTAATTTATTCTGAAAAATGGTCATACATTACTTTAAATTTTAAATTTCCTGTTATTGTAAAGCCTAAGAAACATGGATATACTAGCTGCGGCTGGAGGGTCTATAAGTATAAAGTGGTTCCGCTTTTATGTTCAGAAATGGCTGAGAAATAATTGTCAAAATATTTGATTGCATTATAAAAGCTCTTTGAAATTTCAGATGTATAAAGTTTGTTTTATATTCACAGAGTTAGACTAAACACCATTTTTCGTGATACATATAATACCTGAGTGTGATTTTAATCCCTGAACTTTCTGTATATTCTGCTATATTTCAGAATTTCTTCCATAGATGTCAATAGATACACTGATTATTGCTGTGTACGAGCCAGATAATAGAAAATTCATGTTTTTAATATCACCACATTAATTCATCATCCATATTCATCAATCTGTTAATTTATATTCATTTTATGTTAGGAAAAATCTGCAGATTATCTACCACCCTCTGAAGTACTTGATTGCCATAGGCTATTCGGTGACTTCCAAATCACCCTGAAGAAGAGAGAGGTCAAGGATCATTACATCATATCCAGTCTGCAACTTAAGGTGAGGTTGTAGAGAGTGACTGAAAAATCATGTAACCCAGTGCGCTTCCTATGTCACCAAGACATCTTTCTCTTCCTTACAAAATTGTGTACTTTCTCGGGCAAAGTACAATATTGACCCTTCCACTTTTCTTAGGCCTTCCAAAATCTCTTTGTCCTCGGGGTCCATATTCCATTGTTTCTCTGGGCACACCATCTGCTGGTAACCAGTGCCCATGTTCCATCCATTTCTGTCAAAATTTCCACAGTTTTCGTGGGTTATACTACCTTCCCGAAGTTGTTGTCCATTGTTTTAATTTTGGGCATGGTCTTTTCTTGTTATTCTAACAAACGATCTTAGGCATCTTATTTTGATGCATCACTAAGTCATAATTTTGTCTTGCGCAGAGTTTAGAAGTCTCCTCCATAGAGTACTGTTGGTTTACATTACGAAATATTGCCAAACTATCTGGCAGTGGAGAACCAGGTGATTCTTGCAGGTTAAGTAAAGGGGCGGCAATACCACGTTGCCTGGACGACAAAACCACCTCAGAAAATTAAATGATTCCAAAAGTAATTAGGATTACAGCAGAACCTCGAAGATTATTGGTGTTACTTTGTTAGTGTTAGTGTTATTCTCGATAAGATCATTGGATTTTTCAATTGACCTAATCCTTTTGGCCACATTATGGCCCTGGGTTCGACTCAGCCTCTTCCTGGGGGTAAAGGACGGTCGACCCATAAGGCTGACAAACTCACCGCCGTCTGTGAGCCGACAGTCTAGAAACTGTGGGAGCCTCGATGTCTCAAAATCCTATGGGCCTCCACGGGCTGTTACAGGGATAGCTTTAACTTTTATCTTCAGATTTGAGGAAGCGCTGAAAAAAATATATTTATGCGTGTCATAGGCCTCTTTGTAATTTTAGAAACGTATTCAGACAAGTGCACGCCAGTCATCTTTAGTGTACAAATTATATGTATCTGGAATTACTCATTTCATGACATTCTACTTTGAGCTTCTCCCATCTGGTATTCCATAAGCGGTGACTATTCCTCATTTCCATGTACTTTTAAGTTCTTTTTAAATATCGTATTTTTGGTCTCGTCCTACCATATTTAACGGTTGGTGCTCAGGGGAATAAGTTGTTATGGCCAATTATTCCATTTTTCCTGTATATTATAGCAACATCTTATTTCCTATTCATTTAATACATATCTGGAGCAGGGCTATCTCAGTCAGTATAGCGATGACAAACGGGCTGGACGACTGGTTGTAAATTCCTGGCAGAGGCAAGAGATTTTTGCCTACTTCACAACATCCAGATCGGGGCTGGGGCCAACCCAGCCTCCTATCCAATCACCATCATGTAGTAACCAGATCAAGAGTGATCCAGCTCCCCCACACGTCTTTGTGAATAATTAATTAAGCGCAGGGACAACCTTACCTTACCTTTACCTTTCTTACCTCTTCAAAAACATTCCTTTTACTTACAGCTTCCTTAATTATTTAAAGTTTCCCCATATTCCAAATTGTGTCTTTGCAGAACCTGGAGACGAACTCATGGCGTGAGGTGATACACCTATGGTACGTAAGCTGGCCCATACAGGGTGTCCCAGAAGACGCGAGCTCATTAATTGCATTCTTGCTGGAGGCCCGGCCTTATATGCGCAGCGGCCCCTGTGTTGTCCATTGCAGCCCCGGCACTGGGCGCACAGGGACGGTTATTGCCTGCGACCTCTGCATTAGAGACTTTGAGACCACGCGAATTGTGAATATTCCACGTTGTGTGGCCCGCCTTAGGAGGGACAGAGCTGGCGCTGTGCAGACGCGCGACCAATACGCCTTCATTTACCAGGTAAGTTTGTGGGTTGAAGAGTTTATGATCTATCTTCATACAAAATGAATTATCCTTACCTAATTCCAAATGTTCTTTAGTCATTGACAGCCAGAAAATAAATGTGGTTTCTTCATTGCTTCTCTATTTTCATTTATTTGTTGTACAAGAAATATCTTAAATGAATTCAGAGTTTTCGAAGACCCATTACCACACGGAGGTAGCAGTTGACATAGCGATGGCCAAAATTCAATTCCCGGCAGGGAAAGAGATTTTTCTTTCTCCACAGCGTCCACACTTGGCTCTGGGACCCAACCAGCCTTCTTTAAAATGGCTATCGGGGGTTCTTTCCCCTGGTGTAAAGCGGCCGGGGCGTGAAACACACCACTCACCTCCATCTAGTCCCGAGGATAATAATGCTGGAACTATTCTACTACACCCCCATACGTCTTCATGGTCTGGTGCTTAATTAATTAAACCTGGGGACAAATTTTTGAAGCCGGCATAGCGCAGTCGTCATAGCGTCTGGCTATGGGCTGGATGAGCGAGGGATCAGATTTCGAGATCTGGAAGGGTAAAGAATTTTCTTTTCTCCATGTCATCAAGACTGCCTCTGCGGTCAACCAAGCCTCCTATCCAATGGATACCGAGGACGCTTACCCTGGGAGTAAAGCAGCCGGGGCGTGAAACTGACCACTCGCATACAACCAGTGCCGAGGTCAAGAAAAACGTGGATTTATATGCCCACTCCCACACACGTCTCGTGGCGTAGTGCTTAATTAGTTAATCATAGGGACAACTTTTTACCTTTGCTGTTACCACACAAAATGTAAAATACTCTACTGTGCTTCTATGCCATTAGTGTGGCTGCCCAGACATCTCACAACTCCAAAGTTTGCATTGTGAACGATAGGAAATGAAAATATAAAAATGTGGGACAACATTAAGACTTTGTTTATTGAAAAGCAATCAAGAGTTTCAAAAGTAACTTTGGGGGAGAAGTATGAGGACACCCAGACATAGAGGTAGAAATAGTTACACCATAAACCTACTTTCATTTAAAGTAAATTTGCCTAGTAGTAAATTATTGTTGTGACACATATCCAGCAAATATGTAGCCTATTAATTCTGTGTAACACAGGTCTGTGTCTCCTTCACACACATGTATGTGTATATGTGTGTTGATTCAATTGCAGGTAACAAGGAGTATACAGACACACACCATCAACAAACAAATACAGGACATTAAGAGTTTCATCACATCATAGGCCTTTCAATTTTTAACATTTTATTTCTTAAATTTTGAGCGCAACAAAAATAATTAGTTTTGTGCAGGTAGTAATGAAAGGATTTAATATGAAACTTATAAGTAATATGTCAGCAATGTAACAGTTTAAGCGCAACAGCACATACACACCTGACGATAGTCATTGTGAGACCACCTCATGTAACAATGGGAGGAGGACGTAAAATAGGAGTGGTTTAACCAGGGACTGCACATAAAGCTCCACTGAAGACTGTGTTTGTGTACATTTATGTCAAGTGATAACATAGAGCAGAGGGTTGCTAAAATACAACATTATGAGCATAATTAATAACTGCTCCAAAGGGATGCTAACGCATCCAACAAAACAGTAAACTTACACTCTGAGAAACTGCATTCTTCTAAATTTCAAGATAAGATTTCAGTGCATATACCACTATGACGCACATGCAAAATAATATTCTTCCTTCCTTTTCAGGTTATTAATCTCTATGGCACAAAGTTGACTGGTGGTGCATTGGACTCCATGTGAATGTTCATATTGTATGAAATTATCTACATGTGTAGTATCTTTGTCAAGTGAAGAATTATAGACACAGGAAGTATTATACAAGGGACCAATATATTAGTATGATAGTGTTTCATGTAAAATGTAAATGTTTTGACATATAAATCACATATTTATTAGAAATGTTGAATTTTGTGAAGCATTAGAGGGAGAGATAAAATAAAATACTTGATATCTTATGTAAATTATATTTTGTTGGTATAAATCTGCCTGATGGTTTTGGGTAAGATTTTCTTTTAAGCACTGTATGAAAATCTGTTTGTTATCCCTATCTGGCCTCTCGGTGAAAATCACGCAGAAACAAATAATATTTCGAAATTTACCAGGATCATCATCCATCTTATATTGGAACATTAATAGCTGAGAAAATGACGCTGTATATGCAATTGCAGTTCCAATATGTGCAGATGTGTCATGTGACAATCATAAGAATAGTAGCAATTTCCTTAATTGCCTAGCTAGTTGTGAATGATTTCATGTCATATAGAATATCATAATCTTGTAATGAAATACAAAGTATTTAAAATTATCTTCCCTCCCAGAGACAATTACACTGATCAAATTTGCACATATTTCTTCTCTGTTATTTATTTGTGCATAGATATTAACTCAAAATATATCAGATGTCTCTCCAATACCAACGATACTACATATTCCTCGGGCATACTGAATCTCTTCTGTTAGGCTAGGAACACACACACAGAGACATTGGTCATACAGAAAAATGTCATACGGTTGTTTTTACTGTACGACCTCCTTTTCACACTACAGCGACCAAATACATTTCGTTGCTCTCCGACTGTCATATGGTAGATGTTGCATGTCATCATGTATGAAAGCTAAGACTACATTTTATATTCTACTACTTAATGTGACATGAACCGTATGGATGTTGTACGACCGATGTTGCTGTGTGTGTTCCTAGCGTTACTGCTCTAATTTGTATTCAAGCAGAAATTCCCAACCTGCATGCAGAATATGAAGTGTCTGTTCCAAGAATTTGAATGTTTATTTTGAAAAATATAAAGACATTTTCATACAGTATGTTTACATGAAAATCTTATGGACGTTTTCTCCTGTATCATTAATTTCTATTAAATATTTACATCAGGAGTGCTATCAGTATTCAGCATTTTACATGAATTTGAAGATTAACCTAACTTTTGATAAGAGCCTTCCATTCAGAATAGTTTAAGAGATCAGAATCTGAAAGTTCTAATTTAAGTTCAAATTATCTGCTTAAGGTGAGCTCAGGTAACACAGTCAGTATAGTGACTGCCCACAGGCTGGACGATTGAGGGGTCAGAGTTCAAGTCCTCCTAGGATCAGAATTTCCTCTTCTCCATATTGTCCAGACCAGCTCTGGAGCACACCTAGCCTCCTACCCAATGGCTAAGGGGGGCTCTTTCCCCAGAGGTAAAGCAGCAGGGGCGTGAAGCTGACCCCTCACCTCAAGCTGGTACTGAGGTCAAGAAAGTGTGGATCTGTACATCCTCTCCCCCATACACCTTCATGGCATAGTGCTTAATTAGTTAATTACAGGGACAACTGTACATTTTTTATTATCTGTTTAGGTTGGTGCCCTACATATAGGTTACTAAAACATTATATACTTCCATGTAAACACATTGTATAAGCTTCTTAGACATTCTTAAACGAATGCTATGAGGAATTTGAACAAGGGAGTTTATATTAAAATTGTAGTTGTCATTAATTTGGTATTATAAATATATACAAATTTCATAATAATGGCAATATTAATGATAAGGTTGATGATATTTAACATGAACAATGATGACAACTACACAACTGTGTGGTGTTTAAATTTATGTTCTTAAAAAATGCATTTTTATTACACAAATTTGAGTTATTTGTTTTCAGCTGAAGTTCATATGACATTTTACCACATAGAACTTTTAAGCTACAGCTAACGTGTAACTGCTACTCCTTCACAATACAGTGGAACCCCCATTTAATGCTCTTCAGTTAAAGTTTTCTATCATATAATATTAATTTCAAAGACACCAAGTCAGTAATCTACAAGTTGAAATATTTTATTTCGAGGTTTTTCTCAGGTTAATGTTTAAACCCATTGCTCATCAATAAAACCTTAAATGAGGGTCTCAATCTGTATGTTGAGAGTGATTTAGAACAAATTTTATGCCATATCTTACAAGATTTTGCAGTTACAGTAGCATTTCTTAGACTGTTTTATTAATAACTGAACAGTAATTTTGTTGGACAGTAAAATATTTCTTCTGGCTTTGTTCCTTCATTCAAAATTTGGTCTAATTGGGGAAAATTTGATGGAGTATATTATTTTCATATTCACAAATAATGATTTCCATAGTACTTTTTCTTTCATTGATTAACAATATAGATTTTGCAGTTCAGATTATGTTCATCTTTTATCAATATTTCTAAAAATCATTTATTGAAATTAAAATGGTAGAGGTAATTAGCCATTGTAGTTCAGATAGTTAGGACCTAGCAGATTTATATGGGTCATTGTGTGCACAATATAATGCTCTCTAACACTGACAGGTCTGTTTAGTCACTGTTTTCATATAAACTATTTAGCTATACCTTGTGTGCTAATTTATTTTAACTTTATTAGAATATGTGTGTGTTTGTATTTACTGAAATATATTAGTTGTATCTTGGAATTGGCAGTTTTAAAATATGATTAACTAATCGCTAACTATATCTCCGTCCACAGTACAACTTATTTATTTTCTCCCTCTAAAGGGTCTACTTAAGGTCTACGTACATGGAACAATAACACCACCACACAGGCAAGGGGCATGCATGGTAACAACATCAATATTTTGAGAGCTACATACGCACAAACACCCATGACACTGCACAAGTAATCCAAATGAAGAAAATCGACATAATTGTGTTCGGATAAAGAGAGGACAGCCCCCAAGCAAAATAATGAAGAATTTTAATTAAATATTAAAAAGTAAAGTAGAAAAGTAAAGCTATCCCCGTAACAGGCCGTGAAGGCCCATAGGGTTGTGAGATATTGAGGGTCCCACATCAATAAAATATAGTTAATATTTAATTCAAATAATGGTTTAATTAAATATTAACTAGATTTTATTGATTTTTAATTGATTTTAATAGAATCTGTTATTTTAAATTAGGACTTATCTTATTCATATGTGATAGAAGAAGTGAGATGTACTACACAGTGAAACAGTTTGTGGCTAAAGAACACCTGATGATGGTCATATATGGCCAAAACATGTTGTGAAAGTGAGGAGAGAGAGAGAAAATAAATAAATTGCATTGTGGATGGAGATATAGTTTGTGAAGAGTATATTAATGCAACAGATTGCTTAAATACAATATTATGATTAACTAAATTATCATCATCATTTTACTCATAAACAGTGCTTGAGATGGAATGAAAATAGAACCGGGATGGTTTTCCCCTTTCAATTCTTAGACATAAATTATGAAAATATACCGAGTGATGTATATAGTCTGTGTTCCATCTAAAACCTACAATGCGGGGGAGTAGCCTGTACAACCATGAAACAGATAACAACAACAACAAAATATACTGTACATTGCATTTACTGCCAAAGAAGTAATGGGATGCTTTTAAGCCATTTAGAAAAGAACCGGGATTCCATCCTGCCGCATCCTGCCCCACCTCAAGCCCTGCTCATACATATTAATATTAAATAGTGTTTTGAGAACAAAGTTCCACAATATATTGAGAAAATTGCAAGTGTGGTACTAATATCATACACAAAATTTCAAGTGTTTCTAATGCCTTACGTTAATCTAATCTTTACTTTAAAAGGCAACAATCTATTGACTTATACAGTTTTAAGAACTGATAGCATTTCATCAATGAACTGACATACTGACTGATTAACTATATGAGTTTACTCAAGTTCTCTATCTGTATTTAGCTACAGTATATAAGTAATTGTAGTCAACTGATAAGAGTGTATCATAAATTACCGCATATATCTGTAAAGTAATCCAAGCAGTGTTATAAATGTAGATATATAAGCATATGAACCTCATGCCATTACCATTTTGTGGGTGAATATTTTAAAAACATTGTATATTAACAGTGATGATGAAAGAGCAATCCTGAAAAATGACTACATTAATTAAGAAAACAAGTATACTTTTATATCCTGAACACATCATTAAATGAAATTTTACTTTTTAGGTATGATACTCTATATGGGAGCTCTAAAATCAGATTAAGTTAAAGATTGAATTTATATTTGTGTTATAAATATGGTATAACTTATTTCATAAATTTGTAAATGTTATATTTTTTAATACTTTTCTAAATACGAGGATTCATAAAAGAACAGCAACCGAAATTGGCATAACAAATATGCTTTGTTTCCTTTTTGCCTCATACATCATATATCAGAAAGTTTTAGTAATTAATTATTGACAACACAAGAAAATATACAGTAAACTGTCTTTTTTTTAGAAATGTATTCCAAATTTGCTATTAGAATTTATCTTGTGATGTGTCTGTTATGAAATGTCAAACAAATCCTTGAAATACATCACAATTCTCAGTTTTGTCTTCTGTCAGTATAGTTAATCTGGTAAGCTGTGATAAAAGATTGTGTGTGCAGCAAGACTTGTGTCTAACAATTATTCTGCCTTCATATTATTAGAAACCCACTTCTAATTGTTGCTAAGTACACAGGCTCACAGGATATTTGAATATGAGTGGGCTATGTAAGGATTTAATATTGAAATAAAAGGTGAACTTTGGATATACCTATTTTATTGTATAAGATGAGAAGTTAAATATCTTGAAACATAAATTAAAAATTTTTTGGCTTTACAGAAGCAAATTTTCTACTAATATCTGCATAACTTACATATCTCAGCAATGTCTCTTCTGTTATGCATCTTTTCTATTATGCAGCAAGGCAAAGTGCTTTTTTTTATGTTTGGATTCTTTATTGACACAAGGAAAATTCTTCATTCTTCAAATCTTTAAAAATGCTTTCCTTGCACTGCAGTATATAACAAGTAAACATTAGTATGTCCTGAATGCCACAGCAATGTCAAGGAGAATTATTCACTTAGTTTCATCTGATTAATCTCGTACATTCTTGGGCTAAAGAGGCTGCCCATCAAAATATTTACACATTACACCACTTTACTGGGTAAAAAACTGTTGAGATGGGA